GCAAAAAAAAAAAAAAAAAAAAAGTCTACTGTAGTAACAGGGGCTTCTCATGGTGATCAAAGGAATGTAAACGACTTACATTGAAAATGATGGGTCAAAATATGGTATAAAAATTTATGCCCTTGTAGATGCAAACACTATTCTTTCAATTTAGACATTTATCCTGGAGCTTAACCATCAGTCCCTTCTTCATATAGTAATAAACCAAATGATGTTGTGAACAGACTTGTTCTTCCCACTTCGAAAACTAATCGGAATATGACATTCAACAATTGGTTTACCTGTAAACTTTTTTGTCTTTTTGAGACAGTGTCTCACTATGCATTTCAGGCTGCCCTTGAACTTCCTTTGTAGCCGAGGTTGGTCTCAAACTTGCAATAATGCTCCTGCCTCGGCCTCCTGAGCAATAGGAGGTTTACCTGTTTTCAACTGATGTTACATTTACTAACAGAGCACAAGTTGACCAGAGCAGGAACTGTACATAAACAAAGCAGAACTTCCAAATGAAATGTTGCAATTTCACAGCAGAGAATTACCAAGTATACCCTTTGAATTTCAGAACAATTATACTATTGGCCTGGTACATAGCAAAGAAGAGCAACCTGTTGGTGTCAACATTGCACCATCATGAAATACCATTGGAGTTCTGCCACATGATAGTCTGAAGAAAATGGCTGTTGACAGTTTCCCTCTCCTTGACTGCGCTTGCATGTTCCCGGAGCCTGTTTCTCACATGTAGGTTTTTAAAAATGTGATTCTTTCATTGGGATATTAACGGATTTTTCCATTAAAGAATAAAACAATATTTTGGACAAAAAAAAAGTCTATTGGGGAAACCTCGACAAAACAGCAGCTTGAAATGAAAATTTTTAAGAACAAAATGTGGAGTAGATGTTGTTGATGAGTTATGCAGCAACTATGATGTCACTTGAAACACACCATTGTCTAGCGGTTGTGTTTTAGTCAGTCCAAAACATGTGGCATGATTTGATAGCTTAAAATGAAAAATAGCAGGGGCCAGGGAGATAGCTCAGTAGAATAAGCACTTGCCTGGCAAAAAATTAAATAAATAAATAAATGAAATAAAATAAAATGAAAATAGCAAGTGCAGCTGGACATGGTGGTGCATGCCTATAAGCCTAGCTCTCAGGAGGCTGAGACAGAAGGATAGCTGTGAGTTCGAGGCTAGTCCAGGCTACATATGCAAGATCAAGGCCAGCCTGCTACATAAGGAATCCCTGTCTCAAAGCAAACAAATAACAACAACAACAACATAATAACAGTAATAATGCAAAATATCAAGAAGACGTTTTCTTAGAAGACTGGGACTGGAGCACATAAGAGATCGTAAGAGGAAAAACAAAATCTTTCTGCCAGAGAACTGTGCAAAAAAATTGTGGCATACACTGGTGAGCTGACAGGTGAATAGGCAGGTACAGCACCACAAAGACCTACGACGACGACAGGAAAACAAAAAGATGTCAAGTGTGTCCTACAGGAAAGTACAAGAAAACAACACATAGGTGCTATCAATGTGTGCAGTACTTGTGTGTAGAACATTCAGTTTTCATGAATGAAGACTACCTTGAGTATGACAGCTGAAGCAAAGCTCATTTTGTGGTAGAGTCCTATTGGTATTTTCACTGTAGTTCAGGAAACAATTTATTTCTGATGTTACCTTTTTGATTTTGTAAGAAAGTGCACAGCTGATGTGAAAAATGGTGTTTATTCTAAATGCACAATACATAGCAAGAATTGAATATTAAAAAAGAATTTAATTCTTTTTTTTTTTGGCAGAACTGGGGATTGAACTCAGACCCTTGCGCTTGCCAGGCAAGCACTTATTCTACTGAGCCATCTCCTTGGCCCCTAATTCTTTATTTTATTGATATTTTATGTTCCTGTTAACTAGAGACTAC